GCGAATCGGCACACTTTCTAGTCGCATGTGCTAAATTTTGTAACGTTTGAGCTATCTGCTAACAGCTTATATAATTATAAGTTAATTGTAATTGATTATGTAGCAATCTTATATTATTATATATTACTTATAGTTGATTATGTATCGTTCTGTATAATAAATATATCTAAATAAACTAACTAGTTAGTAAATTATGTATCTTAGTTACATTACTATGATTTTTAAGCTTACATAATTAACCAAATCAAAATGCACTAAACATTGTTAATTTATAAAAAAACGTTATCAGACAATACTTGTTATAAGAAAAATATTTACATACATATATATTTTATTATGCAATTTAATTGATCATATTTTTACATTTAATAAAGTTTTACGACTATTTGTAGCAATTTTATATATATAATAAAATTTGTCTGTTAATTTACGCATTTTAAGCTAATTTGGTTTCAGAATTTGACGCTTTCTCTCCATGCGCATCGCGTGCGATGCCATCACATACAATTGTTTTTGTAACGATAACTTTTAATATTTCCATAATTTTGCTAGCTAACTGAAATAAATGTATATATATATATTTCTTATTAGTTATTAATTTGTTATTATAATTGCAGAGCATTTGCGTTTACTCTCCACACTGCTAGTGCTACTTCTGGAGGTATTCAATATATAAGGTTTAATCAAAATACCATTTTTACCGTTACATATAATTAAACAAGTAATTTACAAGTAATTTTACATATCTTCCACAGCATAGTTGCACGTTTTCGTTAATTAAACATACATACAATATACATGCAATTGGGTTGTTTGCTTTATGCATAACCTCAAGTGAGCAATATTATTTTGAATTTTGCTACAATTTCAAATATTTTCGGTTTATAATTAATTTTTAATTAACAATTTTAGCTAACACTATCAAATTATATATCTGTTGGAATTTTTATTACAATCAGCGTTGCAAATAATGCATTAAAAATAATGCATCCCAAATACGCGATTGAAATATAAAAATTTGAATTCCAACTTTTATTTTTTTATTTCAATTTTTAATCCCAACTACCGGATTGAAAAAGAAAAAATATAAACATTTCAATATTAAGCATATAATTTTGAATTAAAAAAATAATTTGCTTTGGAATTAACACATTTTCGAATTAATTCAAATCTTCAATTCTTAATTCCAAACATCTTGGATTAGAAATTGAAAATGAAATTTTTAATTTCAAACATCTTAAAAATGAAAATCGAATTTTTATTCCCAACATTTTTGGTTAAAAAAAAAATTATTTTTTAAACGCAAATTTTTGATTAAAAAATTCGCAACCCTGATTACAATAAATTTCTGCATTTCTCTTCATTAATTTCTCAAAGTATTATTGATGTATCGCAGGCATGCAGAATCAAAAAGTTGATGTTATAATACTTACTAAAAATTTCGTAGTTAAAAAAAAGGTTATTATTCTATTAGAGTGTATGAACTTTGAATTTTAGTACATTTGCTAACAATTCTTTATACATACAGATATATTAAAGAGGTTTAAACATAAACAGTAATATTTTTTTAAGTGATATTATATTACAAATTTAATTTCCACACATAGACCACAGCAGAAGCATTTGATTTTACCAAAAAGTGAAAGAAATTTTAGTGGGGTGAAAAACCTTTGGAAAAGGAGGATAAAAAAAAAATTAAATGAAAAATAATTTACTGGCGATCTGAGGACATAAAGTTTAATTTTAAAGTGTTAAAAACGGTAAGTCTCGATTGCTAGAAAAAATACGAGTTGTATTAAAAAAGGTTATATTGTAAGTCACAATACCTCAAAAAATATGTGAATAATTTCATATTTTTATGTCGTAGAAAATTTTGTTTCTTTAACCAAATTCGTTGTAAACTCACCTTCTATTGAACTAAATACATTTTATTAATTTACTTAATAATAGCAATTTTTTCCTTACATTGACTAATTAAAAAAAATCTTAATTTTCATTAAAAAATTCTCATGTCAAAATATCAGATTTTTTCGAAAGGTCAGTAAACTTTATGTTTATTGAAATTTTTACTTTCTGCTGATATAAAATATATACACATTACTATGTCAAATTTTCTCAAAAAATGCCCAAAAGACACCACTTCCTCTTCCCAACCTTAGATCGCCCGTAAATTATTTTTCCTTACATTTTTGTTATTTTATTTTTCTTTTGCAATGAATTTCATTCTACTCTGACTTTTTGCTTTCAAAACTTATTTAACCTGGTCTATAAAAATATGACATTGACTTTGGGTTTGGGCCTCTTTCTATTCATATTAATAGTTAGCGCTTCAGGTAATTTGAGTAATTTCATTTTTAAGTTCACACAATTTTTATTGTGTTAACAGAGCCTTTGTATGGTGAAGAGTCATCAACAATGTTATTTTAAAAATATGTATGCTTTTGTAAATATTTGTGTATTTCTTTATGCTCATTTTTGTGGAATTATGTGTTTTACACGGCTTTCTTTTACTATAGGAGTGGTGCTACCAGGCGTATGAGTGACCTTTGTTGAGTAAGTTTTATCAACAATTATTTTTTGTTTCAAAAATTGCAGAAAATATATATGTAGACAATATGTAGATGTATTTCTTTGATTTTTTGCGAAGCTACACAAGGTTTCTTAGAGATACACTTTCTACAATAAATTTGCACATAGAAATTGAAACTCACAGTTGTTCAGATACACGGTTGCTTAATATACAGGCATGCATTTACAACTATTTTACAACGTCATCAGTAGCTAGACATGTCAAACTATAATTTTAACCGATTAACCTTCCACTTTAACACGTTTATATAGTATTTGTATTTAGTTTTTTATAAACATTTAACATTAATAATTAATGATTATTAGCCTTTAAGAAATTATATTTAATAAATACGTATATCCCTCATTAGTATAAACGTATGTATATAACAGATATATATAAATTTTATATATTCTTCTTCTTCTAATTTTCGAAGAATTACAAATATTTTTATTCGAACTGCAATTTTTTTACTTCACGATTTTGCTAACTACTTTATTTCAATATTCAAGGTACACACGACATTTTCTCTTCAATAAAGTTGATTAAGAAACATGTTCTGTAATCACTTTATGAAAGATGCAAAACAGTTTGTTTATCAAAAACAACAAAATCACATAAAATTTAAATAAAATTCTTATTCGAACACTAAACATTTTTGTCTAAATAATTTTCTTTTAATGATTATGTGTATATTTACAGTGTAGTATAAGTGCCGCGTCTTGCGCTTAAATAAATTAAATTTTATGAAAAACTTTCAACTTATGGTTGTTCTTAGATATGTTCAAATGCTATTGAAAAATACTTTTTTTTTGTGTATAAAGAGAGTTAAGCAATAAATCAATTTAGATTTGTGTGTCAGTGTTATTACAATAAAACCAAATTCAGTCTCAGAAGAGTCAAGTATAGCTCGATGAAGTAGGAGTGTCTATAAATTCTCGTTAGGTACATTGGTAAATATAATTCTAATATTAAATTTGAAGAGTCTGATTTACAACAGCTTTATTTCTAGTAACAAGTATAATATTTATAACATTTTATACGAGTAATGTAAAAAAACTAGTTATTAACACTAACTATATATTATGTATGGAAAAGCAGTTTCTTAGCTAAACTTATTTATATCGGAAATATTACAATTATTGGTGTATATATACGTATCATAATTTAAATTGACTCCTATATTATGTGCTGCAAATAAAATTTAATAGTTTTGACTACAAAGCAATATTTGACTAATTTACTGATTGATTATCCAAAAGTTAAGGTTATTGTAAAGCGAGGACTCAGCGCACAAGAAAGCGCGACAAACAATAAAAAATTTGTACTAAGCATATTTATTTAATTTTTAATTAACATAGATAGCCTGGTTCCACTATATTTAGCTCGCATCATTTTATACCATTTATACTTCAACTATTAATAGTTGTCCAAAAGGCTTAAGACATCTGTTTCGTGCATGAATTTTGAATTAATTTCGTCATATCAAATTTAGAGTCATTTTATTCGTCATATTAAAACATAAAACCAAACAAGAAAAAACTTAACTACGATCAAACCGAAGCTATAATACCTTTGACAAGTGCTTTTTTTTATAGCCCAAAGGGGTATAAAAATATTTTTATTTTGATTTTGTACGGTCAGTTTTTATGTTGTAGTGGTCCGATTTAAACAATTTCTTCGGAAATTATATTCCTTGCACAATAATGCGTTTCAAATTTCGTGGAGATACCTTGTCAAATACAAAAGTTTGCCATACAGGGATTGACTTTGACTGCTCAGTTTGTTTGACAGCTAATGCCTCTAGTGATCCGATATAGCCAATATGTTTGACTATTATAGCGCTGTTTTGCACAATAATGAATGTCTAATTTCGTAAAGGTAACTTGTCTAATGAAAAATTTGTCCATACAATAACTTGATTTCGATCTTTCAGTTTGTACGGCAGCTATACGCTATAGTAGTCCGATAACAACGGTTCCGACAAATGAGTAGCTTCTTGGGAAACAAAGATCGTGTGCAAAATTTTAGATGCATATCTTAAAAATTGAGTTAATTGTTTGCATAAATAACCTGTTCAGGGTTCAGGTTTATTAAACATTTTGGTTCCAATAAATTGTAGTATTTAAAATCTTTTCAATACTTAATTATATCGAAAATTCGCTCATGTCTTTTTAAACCTGTAAGCTTTCAGCAGTATAATCCTTATTTATGTAGTTGGAGTCGCTGTTTTCGATAAAGGTCATAGCACGATATGATAAATTTGATATCTAGTTAAACCAAATGTGTTGCGAAGTATTCAGATGTGTGTAAGATCAATTAAAAAAAAATTCGGAAAAATATTTTGAATTTCAACTTACTTAACAAAATTCCTAAAGTTACTTTTCATATATATATATTTATAAATATAAGTACCATATATCTTAAAAGAAGTTGTCATATAATAAAAACTTACATATTAATGACGATGCGTCTTATCTTGAAGCATTTATGATGTTTGCACAATTTTGACAAGCACGAATTTGAAGTTGAAAAAATTGTATGCGAAATTTTTCACACACAATTGTAACGCTATAGCGTTGCCAAACAGCCGATTCTAATAAACAAAATAATACAAAAAAGAAAAACGAAATTTTATATTTTTAAAATATTAAATTTATTAAAAAATTAAAATATTTCTAGCATAAACTAATTAAAAATACATGCATAAAGATCACTGGAATTCTCTAGATCTGCAGCAAAATAAGTATATATGTATGCAGTTGTCGTTGAATAAATGCGCTTGCAGCTTAACTAGCAAAATAAATGCAAACTTAAGAATAACACAGTAAATATACGCTAAAAACTAGTTAGTGTAGTTGAAAAATCAGGAAACATATGTTACAAAAGTCAAATGATTGAAAAGCTAATTATAAAGTGAGTACAAAAAATAAATCAGTGCCAATGTCGAGGAGAGAGCTGAGTGCTGAGAGGAATAGAGCGAAGTTCGGCTTGTTCACTTTTTATCACAATTACGTATGAAAAATTTCTTTATCTGCTAGAAACCGCTACGCCCGCCGCCACTGCGGCCCGAGCCAGCCGCACCACCTCCGCTTGAGCCGAATGCGCTTTGCGGCACGAGTATGCGGGGCAAAGTCAACGAACGTTTGGGTATGCAATGCTTGAGTGGCGAAAATGGTTGCGAACGCAATTGCTCTTCGGAAGTGCTCAGCTTGCAGTCGATTTCTGTAGGTTCCGCCACTGTGCCGGTAGTAGGCGCTGGGATTTCCTGCTGTGGTTGCGCCACCATTTTCATGCAATCGCACTCTTCTTCTTCTTCTACTGCATAGTCGTCCATGTCGGCATCAAAGGAAGCAATCGGCGCCGTAGCTGCAATAACGGCGAGCGTAGCGGTGGAACCACCAAATGATGGCCATTGTCACGCGTATGACTGTGCGGTCTGTGGCATAAGACCGTGTGTGTAGGGAGAAACGCCAACACCACTGGCGCCATGTGCATCGAGTCCATTGCCGGTACTGCCACCACGCTCCACAAGATTTTTGAGGCGGCCACGTAATTCTTCCAGACTCTTCGACTTGGCCTTGTTGATACGTTTATATTTAACATCTTTGGGTTTGGTCACCGAGCGATGGTTGGACATGACGCGATTGTAGTTCGTTACCTGCGATTTAACGCCAGTCGAACTGCCATCAACATCAGCACCCGCCAAAGCGTTGACCCTTTCGGTAGTCGGTGTGGCAGCCGTGGTGCGCAGCTGCGGCACCATGACACTGTATGCCGTGTAGCCGTCCTTCGTCGGTGACTCTAGCGGTTTAGAAATGCTGAGTTGTCGTTGCGGTGATGGTGGTGTGATGCGTATGTTCTCTTTGGTACGCTCCACTTCAGTGCCGTTAGTTTGATGTAATGTGGGATGTGTCGAAGGTGCGTGCGTCGGTGCATGGGAAGAGTTGCTATCTATTTGGCCCTCCGTTGAGCTTGAACTCAGCGCCTTTTCGGAGCGAGTACGGAATTTATCACGTTTCTCTGCTACATCAGAGGTTGGTTCTGGATCCTCCTCCACCGAGTAGACAGTCTCCAATATTTCTGGGCGTCGTAGAAAGCAATTGTTGCGCCGCACGCCACTGTACTTATTCAAATTCGTCTCGATGGCATCGGAGATGGAGCGCACTATGGTTATACCATCGCTACCACACTGTGCTGCATTAGAGCCGAAGCCACCACCTGAACCACCGCCGCTGCTGCGTCGCCTAGCGCCAAATGGCATATTACTGCTATCTGAGTCGATATCTTCCAGCACCACCGCCGAGTCGGAGTCATTAAGTGAATCCAGCTCCGTGGTAAAGTTCGCCTCGATAGCATCCAAGCCATGATCGGAGAGTCGATTCGACAACGTATCGATAATCTTCTGTTGTCGCTGTATGGTGATCTCGCGATGGCTGAGCAGGCTCGCAATCTGCTTTTGTTTACGCTTCAAACGCGACTCCAACAGGAGAAGTTGTGAGGTCAGCGTGCTCATCTGATCCGACTTCTCCTTCTGGTAGCGGTAGTGCTGCTGTATCTGTGGAACAAAAGAATGCATTTCATTAATGTCATTGCAGGCCAAAAGTTATAAAAGCACAATGTACGTCACCTGTAGCGCATATGCTTTCCGCCATTTCATTATGTGCTCCGCTTGATAGCGCACCTTCGTACGCAACTCCTCGATCATGAGTCGCGCCGTGTGCAGGTCCTTCGGATTCTGATTCATCATATTCAAGCGCAGATTGCTAGTGTGCGTGCTCACCGGTATGGGTGGCCAGTGGAATTCCACCTGTGGCGGTTGATTTGCGTCATTCGGTAATGAGCCCCGTGGTTTTGGTGTTAGCGGTTTGCTGGTCGCGTCACTGATAGCTGCGGCCAGAATGCCAACACCGCCGCCACTCATGCTGCTATTGCTGCCGCTGTTGCTACCACCGCCTCCCATTTGGCTGGCTATGTTGTTCGTATTGCTACTGTTATTGTTATTGTTGGCGGTTGCCATTGCAGTCACAGCCATCGTGGGTGGTATCGCGGCGGCTGCCGTTACAGTTGCTGATGCGGTTGTGTGTTGCGGTTGAGTGGGTTGCTTCTGCACGCTGCATGCCATTGTTATAGTTTTAGCAAGTTGCGTTGCACGTTGCGTTGCATACATTTAGGCGCGTGCTTTATTTAACTTTACTTTGTTGCTTTGTCAGCCGTTGATTGGTTGTTCGCGGAAATTCGTCGCTTGTGGGTGTATATGTGGAGTAGCGCTACGCAAATATTGGCTGCGTGATTGACATGAGTTGATGCTGAAATGAAAAATGCAAAAAAAGCTTTTAGAAATTGTTGAAGATAAGAGAAGGCAGTGGGAATGACAGGGTTTCATGTAATTTCGTTTAAGTTGCCTCTTCTGTACACATATTTGTTTGTGCAAAAGTTTGACGTCTATTTTAATTTGAAAAAATATACGAATTAAGAAAATAACTATCCTAATTCAAGGCGAGATCGTGTTGAAATCTTCTTATAGTATGTTAAGCTGCTAAATTAAGGTACTAACTATATTCCATGGCCAAAAATACGAAATTCAGCCAGTCCTTTAATATATGCCGCTTTCTAGGCGATGTTTTCTGCTCGCTGTCTTTGAGCGTTGTTCTCTTGCGTAACAATTTTATACGGGAAAGCAATAAAAAGTTTAGCGAGTTAAATTCGCTACAGTAGAGCTTATCAGTACCTCTTTAAGGTATTATATCCACTTGTGAATTTAAAAAAATCGAATTTTCTTGCTGAATTTTTTAGGTTTATCGAATGTACATATATTTCAGAGTATTCAAGAAAGAGATAGATTAGTATACAGTTTCGAAGTTATGAGCGTATTTGTAAGTATGTTTTAACTTAGTGTAATCGGCTGCCAAAGTTTTAAACGCGATTTTATTGATATCTTGTTTTCAGAGTCGATGAGGAAAATTTCTTCGAAACGCCTGTACCGATCGTTTTCAAATTTTCACACCACGAACGTTTGTCAGGCAATGAACGAAGCAATAATATTATTCATAATAATTTCGATTTTTTAAGTCATTCTGAGCTGTAAATTTGTTTACAAAAAATAATTAGTGTTTGCGAAATTTTTGTCAAAAATCAATATTTTGACCAGTTTTTCGACCATTGACTGTACGTAACTATTGTAATAATAATTTTTTTTAGGTTTTTGGATTTCACATGATTTTAAGCAGAAAAAAATCTTCCACAACATCAGACACCTTTTTTCGGAGGTTTCCTGTAGATCGGCTATAGGATCAAGAAAATCAAAATTTTTCAAAATGAATCACCGATTATGACTGTACTTTAAGTTCTGTAAATATAGCGTATTTTTATGCTAATTTTGGTTAATTAAATAAAAAAAAACGACTTTTTCAATGGTTTAAAAATTAACAGTCAGCTTAAGAATACACAGTAAAATTTTTTAAGAAATAAATGAAATATTATTCGTGACCTTCACTGGGTCTTCTCCGTGGATGAAACCGTAAAATATCTCTAGAAGATACTGTCCATAAAATAAAAAAGTAACAAAAATTGACAAAATGGCGGCGACTTTAGTGGTTTTTGGCCAGCCAGGACCTTGTATGGAGAACTGTATACAGAATAAGCAGAAAAAATTGCATGCTGATCGAACCATTTGTCTTCAAGAAATCACTCCAGCAAATGTGAAAAATGTTGCTTTGAGAAAAACGCGTTCAAAGATAAATTGGTTGAGCTGATTAAACTAAGCGGCTACACTTTAGAAGACTGTAACTCAAAACCACTTTGTAATGTCGATTTAAGATTTAAGTATGCTATTTTTAAGGTATGTATCTAAAAACTGGTCTCAGGTATCGAAACAAAGTCAAAAGTAGGCTTGACTCACTATTTAATTGCAAATTCTTGAATATAAATTGGAATAAGAGAAATTATTGATTTGACAGCAGTATTTATTTTTCTATAGCTAGCTATTTTTAAGTATTTATATGTGTATCTAAATATGTGCTTAGTACAACCGTTATGTTGTAGCTTCTACTTTGAATTCAAGGTACACATGCGAAATTTGCGCTATTTCCTCTGTTCTGTAATGACAATCTTTGACATGTGAACGCGTAAGTCCTACGACCCAAACTTCCTTCAAATGTTGCTGTCAGCAAACGACTATGTTAACTCTCATTCACACGTTGTAAGAGCGAAATTGATTTTTGCTTCTCCAGTGCAAAGCAGAGCACTCCACAGAGTCCTAGGCACTAACTTCATGGCCATGGCAAACCGATACGTCCACATTTCAATTTGCGTTTCTGTGTGTGTGTATGCTGGTGCAAATCATTGAATTAAGTCCGGGTGGTATGGACGCCTGTGGCGGAAATAGCAATCAAATCACAGCGACAATTCGCTTGGGAATCGGTTTGTACGTAATTAAATAAATTGGGTATTGCCATCGTTTGAGAAGTACACCGTTAAACATACGGACGTATGTAAAGAGTGTCAACGTATGCGGAAATTGAACATATGGATCGAAGTGCATAGAAAATTCGGTGGCGGTGTCAAAGCAAATAAGATTTATAAGCTTTGGTGCTCTAATGGTATGGGAAATGTGTATGGGTGTATGCAGAATCTGTTCGTAAATTAGGGAGCTTAATAATATATATCACTAAAAATAGTTTATGTTTGCATTTTTCGATGTTCGCTTTAATTTTAAAGATAATTGAATAAAATAAATAAAATGGACTCAAAAAAATATTGCCGCTATGTGGGTAAGCAAATATTGCAATTATGTATTTATGCTTTAGTTGTTATATTTATTTTTAAGTGGCAAGCAAAAATTACATATCAACGAACTAATTACATAAAATCAAGCCAAAACTGATTTGGCATACTAAACAACAGCTAAAAAAATAAAATTAAAATCATCGTAGTGAAAAACAAATATTTCATAAGCAAAATTTTGCAAACTTTCATCCAATAATTAAATATTATAATTGAATATAACATTTATGTGAGTGCCACCGGCATTCTAATAAGTCACCACACACACTTAAATACATTAATGTCCATGTAGTGGTGTACAGCTAATTTTGAACTTTAATATCGCTTTCACCGACCAGCAATTGAACCGCAAAAATGCTTTGGTTTCACAGCCTCGCGCTAATCAGTAAATAAATGCATATTTTCGTGGCATTTATCGCTTGTTAGTAGCTACCCAAAGCAGCCAAAGCCGAAATTCCTGCCGTTATCGGATCGCCTTTCATACGTATATGACACAGTAGCTTTGCAATGATTCGAATTGCAGGAATTTGTATTGGCGCCGTAATTGCGTTTATTTGATTGCGTATATTAAGCAATTTGCACATGCAAACATACTCACACAGCTGTTCCTATTTAAAAGCGTTGCATATTAATGGGCGCACAAGCCATGGCAGACTGCAGCAGCTTGGTCCGTAACAGTGCAGATAATTGAATGAGCGCATAAATTATATCAAATTAAACGGATTTGTATGATAACGGCTATTTTGGAAAATAAGCATGAAGTATATAGGATTATATGTATTTTGCAACGGTTCTCATACAATTTTTAATAAAGCTGCATATTGTTTATATTTTTATGAATACCAAAAATTTTTGAAATTTTCAAAAGAAATATTTATGAAACATGGTGCGAGTACACTTTCCGCGAATTTATTATTTTCGTTATTTACTGAACATACCTCGTACAACTTGAAATAACATCTGATTGATCTGGATATAGATGATAGTCCATTTAAACTGCGCGCGCAAACCAAATCGATAAAAAAAATTCTTAGATTGGGACAACCTTCTTTTGTTCGTCTGAAGTTTGATCTCCATATGTCAATTAGTGTGTGATTGGTATCTGGTCTGGCGATTTCTACCGTGGAACAACGAGCTTGCTTGAAATTTCGTGATTCCAATAGAATCACGCCTTTCGGAATTGTTAAAAATGTTGTAGAAATGTTACAAACATTTTAGGAGCACAAAGCATTCGGCGCAGGTATTAATATTTTGTTGAAAACTTCCCTTAAAGGTACATAGTGCTTAACAAAGATGGCGGTCTACACTGCAAGTTGGCATATTAATTTTTCTGTCTTCAAACAGCACAGACGATATATTTTCGCTCTGTCGCTTTAGAGCTTATCCACTTTGATCTTCATAAAAGTAAAAACCAATAATAATATTTATTGACAAAAGGTTCCATATAGGTCTCTTAGGTAAATGCTCGCGTTTTGCTGTTTCAATTTAAAAGTGATTACACATATTTACCTATTTTGGTGAAAATTGTCTAGTTGAAGGAAAAAATTTAATAAAAAATGGAAAATAGCATTCGAAAAATTAATAGTCACTCGAGCAGTCGATAAGATAAAAAATTAAGAAAAACAGCATTGCCAGCTGTCAAGCCAAATCCTCATTGTGTATATATCACCATAAAAAAAAAACAAAAAAAACGGAAATGTTTGAAAAATTTTACAAATGCAAAAACTGCCAGCATATCATAAAGATATACTACATATGGACAACATTTTAGATAGCAGTAGAAAAGTTTTCAAATTAAATTAAATTTTTTTCTCTACTTTGTTCTCTTTTCATATTTACATGCAGACTATATTATCATATATGTATATATTCTAAGAAAACGTTCAGGTGAAGTCAGGCAAGAAGAAAGGCTAAAAAATAATTCGCATTCTAAAATATGAGAAACCGCATATTTCATTAAATTTCTAACAAAATGCACTGAATGAGCTTCAATGTATTTTCCCGCATAAAATATATGTACTGGTATATGTATATTTCAACATATTTTTGCTTAAAATGGCACATATTGGACTGGCAACAAATACAATACAAAAACAATTGGGAATAAAATAACAACGCAAACGCTATCAGCTGCTTGATAACAACGCATGTAAGCATTTTTTTTATAATGAAGATCAAAAACAGAAAAATCCACAGTACCTGCAACTAATGGAAAATGCTACAAATTCTTATGTGCAACAAATTTGTGCAATGCAATTTAACAACTCAACAAGTCAGCGCGAGTCAGTCACCAACAGCAGCAACCACAAATGCACATACCTTGTCATACATACGCACAAACATACTCTTTTATACAGGGCACAAATGGTAAGAATAATATTAATGGCTTTAGTGAGTGGCAGTGGCATGATTGCATGACTGATGAGTGGCTAAGTTGCAATTAAAGATTGCATGATTCGTCCATTGCTGATGGGCAAAGGAACGCAGGTCAGCAGGGAATAACAAGCAGCACAGTGCGTTTATG